CCATTTTTTGCCACATCCGCTTCCACCCTCTTTACGGAATAGAACCCTTTTCTGGTCTGAGCTCTGTATTAGTCACATGCCCTAGAGGATTCGCTTCCCCAATCTCTTCTGCCTCGCTTGTGACCTTAATGCCTCGGGGGTCGACCTTTTCCCTTATCTAGGCTCATCTCGAGCTTGGAAGCCCATTTTTTGCAAAACCCTCCGCGAGAGTGAGTTCCCTTCCTTTCTTGAGCTCTCAGCTATTCTTCACCCTATCTACCTCTCTGCCTAGGGAATGGACTCCATCATTTGGACCTACCCCTAACGGGGAGTTCTCAATGGCCTCCTTTAATAGTGTGCTTGACAACCCTTGGCCCTCTCCCTCCTTGCCTCACCCCATTGTTACCAAGGCATGGCATGCTTTCACCGCTCCCAGAATTCAGTTCTTCCTTAGGATCGTCTTCTCAGAATGTGCTGCTACTGTCGTATTCAATTGACTTCCTTCTCAATTGGCTTATGATCCTTCATTTCAAGCCTCATCGTATTCCTCACGCCTCTTTGTGGCGCCCACCGGAGCCTGGCCAAATCAAGCTCAATTTTGACAGTTGCTCCTTGGGAAACCCATGCCGGGCAGGCATCAACGGAATCGTTAATGACCACAAAGGACCACCCTATCTTCCTTTGCCCTGCCTATTGGTTGGCCGACTCAACTATAGTTGAAGCCCTCGCCTTATTGGAAGGCCTAAAACTGTCAACCCCTGTTGGAGTTCCTCCCTCGTGGTGGAAGACGATTTAAAAAATGTTATCATCTGGGCCTCCAGAGAGGCACCTTAACCTTGGAGACTCATATCGGTCTTTGACGAGATCTTCGAGTTGTATAGGCTTATACAGGTCTCATGGGTGCATACTTGGCACTAGGCCAACCAAGCAGTAGACGATCTAGCTAAGCAAGGCGGAAAACTAGCTCGATCACACTTTTATATTCCCCCTTGTTTTTTGGCTTTTATGCTTGTAAAGGCATTTTTTGTCGATAGACACCCTTTGGGTGATTTTTTTTATAGAGCTCCCAACTTGTGGGTAGCCATTTTTTGCAACATATACATTCCTCTTCACTAATAAAATGTTAACAATTTCCAAAAAAACCACAGATAGCCAATCAATAAAAGCCCATGCAAAAAAAGTTGTGCTACACTGTTGAATCTTTGCCCACCAAATACCTAGGTCCTCCCTTTCGAATGGGTACACCCAAGAAACATGTTTGGGATCCCAACGTGGAAAGATTTGATCGGATCGTGTGCTTTCCACGCCCTCAATCACAAACTAGGCCCTTTGGAAAGGGAGCTTCCTATCTATGGTTGGATGCATAACCTAATCAATTACACTCTCTCAAATGTCCTCTGTATCAAATGTCGCTACTTCTGATGCCCGCCTCCATGGCGGTCTGATTGCAGAGACTAATGAGGAATTTTCTTTGGTTCGGAAGAGGGGAGAATAAAATTTGCAGGGTGGTAAGGCAATGTAACATGACCCTTCTGGGAAAATGTTGGTGGCGTTTTGCCACACAAAGGAACCATGTGGCGGTGTTTAGGCATAAGTACCATTCTGTTTTCTCGGCTCAGCTACCCAATGGCACTTCAAATGCAAGATCCTTGATCGCATGGCACTCTACAGTGTCTCTCCTCTTCCATCCCATTCAGAGTCTCATCCTTCTTTAGCACATTAAAACACCCACCCCTTCAACTTTTCTTCTTTATGCTGGGCAGAAGAGAATGGCTGAAATCCATTCCCCCAAAATCCGACACTTCAGCTGGATTGCCATCTCTAAAAGATCTCTCACGGTTGACCAAATGCAAAGATGGAGTGTACCTATTTCCAATCGATGTCCTATGTTGAAAGCAGCCTAGGAAACAAATGAACATGTATTCCTCTGTTTTAAAGTGGCTGGGGCTGTATGGGCAGACGTGCTATATATCTTTCAGTGGTCGTGGGTTCTGCCACAGATCAACCGTCGACCTTTTTCAAGCCTTTTTCTCACCTCTTCTCGGAAGTGGCCTTTTCCTTTGGCGGGTAGGAATTGCAGCAGTGCTTTAGGTGTTGTGGATTGAAAGAAATGCTATTACGTTTGAAGGCAAGGAGCGTGCAACCAATCCCCTCAATGATTGCATTAAAGCAATGGTCACCAAAGACTTATTCAACAATTGGAAAACTGTGTTGAATTCAAGGCCACTACAAATTTCCCGGTCTTCCTTTTAGAGACCACTGGGACATGGTCAGATCAAGCTTTCATTGGTTGCTCGCTCAGCAAGACTGGACTGATGGGTTTCGGCGGTTTATTTGGAGACCATAATCAAACTACTCTCTCTTCCCGCTCAGCAAGCCTGGACTGATGGGTTTCAGGGGTTTATTTGGAGACCATAATCAAAATACTCTCTTCCTACTCAAGGTTCATTCGGCACACTGATTCGACAATGGCTGAAACCTTGTCCCTTCAAAAGATTTTGATCTGGAATGGGGGAACTCCTTGGTTGTAGAAGGCAACTCCAAAAATGCGATTTCGTGAATGGCCGGTGTCTCCTCCTGCTCTTGGCATCTTGAGCACATCTTTGACCACATATTTGATCTATGCAAGCATATATATACCACATTTCAGCATAGATGGTGGGAGGCCAGCTCTGAAGCTAACTCCCGCACCAAAGAAGGTGTTATGTCATTCATTCTCTTTTGTTTGAGTTTTGCTGTCCTTCAGGGGTTAATCTAGCCATACTTTTGATTTACAGAGCGCCATTTTGCATGCCTGTTTTTTGCATCGTATAGGGCGCCTGCCCCTTGGGTCTCCATTGTTTGGAATCTACACTTCCTTCTTTACATAAGTACAACTGTCAACATTTACTCCACAAAAAAAAAGAAGCCGCAATCAAGGAATTTCTTTATGAGGGCAATAGGGAGAAACAGATGATTCTCAGTAGATCTGACAACAATATTTCACTTGAATTCAAGTCCCTGAGCTTAGGACAAAGCATTTGTAGTGATATTGAAATGTATGGTCATCACTATTATTATCTTTGTCGTATAATCAGTAGTCTTACTTGATCGTAAAGGGATCGTTTTTGTCATAATGAGGATATGAGATTGAAGAATAAATGATTTTCTTTTATGTTAGCATTGGTGATTTCAGAAGCTATACCTCCTAATATGAAACAACGACGCCGATGGGAACTCTTGCTAAATGAATGTGAAGAGAATATCTACAATACTCTATTGAGGGAGTCTTGTCATGCCATTCCCTATAGGTCCAACTTTACCTGAAATATTAACTTTGATTCAAGTGAGTCTGGATTATCCTATAACCTCCGTTAACTAGCCATGACTACTCTTGCAAAGGTCCAACAAGTTTTCCCAATGTTCTGAAGACTGTTTTGTTCCAACACAAGATGTTTCATGAAAGTATAAAACATTATACTTCATGGCTTCCCATCAATAATATTGCATTCGACTTAAGTCTCCATCAAGAACTGGGGTTTCCTGAAGCAACTTTGAGAATGGATATTATCCCATTAGTTCATTTGTGATTTTAAATATTTATTATCAGACATTGGCGTGCATCACTTGGGTCCATCATAAATGCACCATAGATCAGTGGTACACCACAATTAAAATTGCCTCAATCTGCCATTTCCACCTTTGTTACTTCAAAACTTAGTTGGAAACATGCATCCTTCATTAGTTTCCTCCGTAGACTATTCACTTCCTCATATCGTTCCATTAAATGGGTCGTTAATGCAGAATTCTTAAATAAAGGGATAAAATTTCTCAAGAAAATATGTTACTTAGCAGTGACCGCAAATTTTGGATCTCTCTCCTACCTGGGGATTGATCAATGAGCTTTCGTCATTAATTTCTTTGCCCTCTTGTTCGTTCGCTATTATTATATATCCTCCAGACATGATTACTTTGCAGGATTGTTAGCAGGTGCCACAAGCCTTTCTATCCCAGAACTTCCAAGAATTCCTTTTATTCTTCCTATACCATTTCAAAGTATACCGACATCCAACATTCCGCTAGTTTTGTGTTCCTCCAAAACGAGAGAGTCAGCTTTACCTCTGAAAGAGTGCATTAGATAAATACTGAAATAAGCAGGACCAACTGTTAAACTCTTGGCTAAGCAGGATTTTCATGAACTAGGTTAAAAGGAAAATGTAACTAGGTAGTCAACTCACTTCCGCCTTGGATTCTCAAGAAGGAAAGTATAACGCAGTGGAGGATGATATACAGTAACCCATGGGGGCATGGACTTTGATCATGGATGCTGGAGATTAACTGTGCGTCTAGAATGTCCCTGTCACAAGCCATCGTCAGGAATGGATGGTGGATGCCCCTTTGGCGTACTATATTCCACAACATTGGATTAGGGTGTACTTTCCCTTCTAAGAGACCAAAAATTACCCTCAAGCTCAGAGAATGCTGTTTGTTGTGGTAAAGACTGCCTGGACTGATAGTAGAAACCATAGGGATTCAAGTCGGCCTTATATTCGAAGCTATAATTGCTCATTCATATGGTGTATGTTCCTGTAACTTTGAGGTCCTTGATTTGATGCCAGCTAGTAGATAAGCAGGAAAGCAACAACTTGAGACATTCCATATAGGTTAATTGCCTCCTCTACTCAGAGGACATCAAGAGTCATATAGAGACCTCATAGCCAACTTGATATTCAGGGGATTCGTAGTTGGAAGTATGAAGAGCTTGTGGTCTTCTTCTACATTTCATGTTTCGCAAGAATAAACAACTGGTCAAGGTCTTTGTAGGGTTCAAATAAATATTAGAAGCCTCATGCAGAGGCTCTGTAGTTAATAAGCCTGCAACTTAGATGTATGACATTGGGCATGAAGGTGCTCTTGAAGAATTTTGGAGTTTGTTTCGATCAGAGCTGACCATGTTCCTTTATTTTCATGTTTTAATCCTCTTGATAATATTTCCATGTTTGTGGGATCCTATGTTTGCCTGACTTGGTGATGCTATTCAGGGAAGGACGGCACTTTGGGATGTTCTCTTACTTCTCTGTCATAGAATCAAGGTGGGCTATGGAGGCATTGTGCGAGGTATGCCGCTTTCTTCTTTGGCCTTCAACATTCATCCCATTATTGAAATGGAAATTGAGGATTGATAGGCATGAGAAGTGGGTCAATTTCTGGGGACCTCTCAAAATAAGGGCCAACCTATGTCCTCAATTTTGGAAAGAGAAATTTAGCGACTTGAAATTCTGAAAATTTGGACGTCTATTTTGAGGCAATATGGATATTCCTCTTGTGCATTTGGCGATATGATCAGCGACTGATATGGAATTACAATGTGAAACTGATTAATCTTACAATGGGTTCTGTTCACCAATTTTGTTCTATTTTTTTTGTGGGATGGGTATGCTGCTGACTCTAACCAAGCAACGTATTGCTATATAGGGCCCTAACCACTAATCCAAGAAGCTGCGGCATGTTTTTCCCCTTTTATTTGGTGGTGGGGATCGGAAACCTTCCCATCCACATGTAAAACTTTGCGTTGTACAAGCTCTCCATGTCACGACTTTTTGTATGTTAAAATTTTCGTGCTCTTTTTCGCATTATATTATAATAATGACATGGTGACGTGATATTATTTCCCGTGTATATATATATATATATATATATATATGG